TATCTAAGAACAAAACACCTGGACCAGATGGCTACACCGGTGAATTTTATCAAACATTTAGTGAAGACCTAATACCCATCCTCCTTAAAGTTTCCAAAGAGTAGAAGAAGAGGGAATACTTCCAAACTCATTCTTTAAGGCCAGCATCACTCCAATATGAAAACCAGGCAAAGACATCACAAAAAAAGAAATAACAGACCAATATCACTGATGAACATACATGCAAAAATAGTCAACAAAATATTAGGAAACCGAATTCAAAATACATCAAACAACCATCTATCATGATCAAATAGGATTTATTCTGGGGATGCAAAGATGGTACAAGATTTGAAAATCTATCAACATCATCTACCACATCAACAAAAAAAAGGACAAAACCACATGATCATCTCCATATATGTTGAAAAGCATTCAACAAAATTCAACATCCATTCCTGATAAAAACTCTAAACAAAATGGGTATAAGAAGGCAAGTACCTCAACATAATAAAGGCCATATATGACAAACCCACAGCCAACATCATACTTAACAGCAAGAAGCTGAAAGCTTTTCCATTAACACTGGGAACAAGACAAGAATGCTCACTCTCCCCACTTCTATTCAACATAATACTGGAGGGCCTAGCCATGGCAATCAGGCAACACAAAGAAATAAAAGGCATCCAGATTGGCAAGGAAGAAGTTAAATTGTCCCTGTTTTCAGATGACATGACACTGTACATAAAAAATCCTAAAGAATCCACGCCAAAACTACTAGATCTAACATCTGAATTCAGAAAAGTTAAAGGATACAAAATTAATATGCAGAAATCTGTGGCAGTCCTATATACTAACAAAAACTAGCAGAAAGAGAAATCAGGAAAACAATTCCATTCACAGTTGCATCAAAGAGAATGAAATACCTAGGAATAAACCTAACCAAGGAAGTGAAAGACCTATACTCTGAAAACTACAAGACACTCATGAGAGAAATTAAAGAAGATACCAATAAATGGATACACATCCCATGCTCATGGATAGGAGGAATTAATATTGTCAAAATGGCCATCCTGCCTAAAGCAATCTACAGATTCAATGCAATTCCTATGAAAATACCAACAGCATTCTTCAATGAACTAGAGCAAATTGTTCTAAAATTCATATGGAACCACAAAAGACCCCGAATAGCCAAAGCAATCCTGAGAAGGAAAAAAAAGCTGAGAGAATTAAGCTTTCCAAGTTCAAGCTCTACTACAAAGCCATAGTAATCAAGACAATTTGGTACTGGCACAAGAACAGACCCACAGACCAACAGAACAGACTAGAGAGCCCTGATATTTACCCAACCACATATGGTCAATTAATATACGACAAAGGAGCCATGGACATACAATGGGGAAATGACAGCCTCTTCAACAACTGGTGTTGGCAAAACTGGACAGCTACATGCAAGAGAATGAAACTGGATTATTCTTTAACCTCATACACAAAAGTAAACTCAAAATGGATCAAAGACCCAAATGTAAGTCATGAAACCATAAAACTCTTAGAAGAAAACATAGGCAAACATCTCCTGAATATAGGCATGAGCAACTTCTTTCTGAACGTATCTCCTCGAGCAAGGGAAACAAAAGCAAAAATGAACACATGGGACTACATCAAACTAAAAAGTTTCTGTATGGCAAAGGACACCATCAACAGAACAAAAAGGCATCCTGCAGTATGGGAGAATACATTTGTAAATGACATATCTGACAAGGGGTTAACATCCAAAATATTTAAAGAACTCACATGCCTCAACATCCAAAAAGCAAATTACCCGATTAAAAAATGGGCAGAGGATATGAAGACACAGTTCTCCAAAGAAGAAATTCAGACGGCCAACAGACACATGAAAAGATGCTCCACATCACTCATCATCCAGGAAATGCAAATTAAAACCACAATCAGATATCACCTCACACCAGTTAGGATGGCCAGCATCGAAAAAACTAAGAAAAGCAAATGTTGGTGAGGATGTGGAGAAAGGGGAATCCTCCTACACTGCTGGTGGGAATGTAAGCTAGTTCAACCATTGTGGAAAGCAATATGGAGGTTCCTCAAAAACGCAAAATAGAAATATCATTTGACCCAGTAATCCCACTCCTTGGAATTTACCCAAAGAATACAAGTTCTCAGATTTAAAAAGACATATGCACCCCTATGTTTATCGCAGCACTGTTTACAATAGCCAAGATATGGAAGCAACCTGTCCATCAATAGATGAATGGATAAAGAAGATATGGTACATATACACAATGAAATACTATTCAGACATAAGAAAGAAAGAAATCTTACCATTTGCAACAACATGATTGGAGCTGGAGGATATTATGCTCAGTGAAATAAGCCAGGCAGAGAAAGACAAGTGCCAAATGATATTCCTCATTTGTGGAGTATAACAATGAGGCAAAACTGAGGGAACAAAATAGCAGCAGACTCACAGACTCCAAGAAGGGACTAGTGGTTACCAAAGGGGAGGGGTGTGGGAGGCTGGGCAGGGAGAGAGTGAGAAGGGGATTGAGGGGTATTATGTTTAGTAAGCATGGTGGGGGGGGGAGGTCACAGGGAGAACAGTGTAGCACAGAGAAGGCAAACAGTGAATCTGTGGCATCTTACTACACTGATGGACAGTGACTGCATTAGGGTATGGGTGGGGACTTAATAATATGGATACATGTAGTAACCACACTGTGTTTTCATGTGAAACCTTCATCAGAGTGTATATCAGTAATACTTTAATAAAAAAATTTTTAAAACACACAAAAATTTGTATTTCATCAGTTGGGTTTAGTTTCTGCAGACAATCCAAATAAAATTCATGGACTTAAACAAGACAGTGGCTTTGTTCTTTCTCACATAAATGAAGTTTGATGTAGGCACTCTGCAGTGAATAAAGACCTAGGCTTCTTTAACCTTTCAGTACGCTATCTTAGTGCTGGCTTCCATCTTCAAGATTTCCTCATAGTCCAGGACAACTGCTCAGACTCCTACCATCATATGCACATTCCAGGATGGAAGAAGTAGGAAGGGGTAAGGTTAAAAGGGCATGCTTCCCATCTAAACAGCCTTCTTTTAAGAAGCTTTCTTAGAATTCCCACCCCAAAACTCCTACATAGGTCTCACTGGTAACACACAATCTCAGGATCATGTTGAAGTGTAAAAGTACTGTGTAATTTGAGAGTATTCCTGGGCACATTCATTACCAGCTGGACAAAGTTTCATACTGTAGCATTGCTTTCATGAACACCATAGTCCTGGCAGCAAAGGGGCCTGGGCAGTGTTTTTTGCCTGGGAATGTTGCTACCTAGAATGCAATTTTTAAGAAAGGAGTAGAAATTGCTGTAAAATAGTCAACAATAGACCCTTCCACATTGTGTTAAGATTGAAAAGCACTTGTTAAAATAAATAGGTGTACCCGAAGTCCTGGATTGTAAACCAGGAGGTCCATTTCATCTTACAGAAATGATTTAACAATTTTTAGTTAGTTTTCAACATCCCAAATCAATAAATTTTATATAAAATTACAGATGTCTGCTTTTTCTTGAGAATCTAAAAATCTGGCAATATGCTGGGCCCACATTCTCAATGGCAATCTTTAGCTAGAGATGAGAAGTAGCTTCCTTGCAGGAAGAATATCTGTCCTCCAATTAGTCACCGTTCTCATCTATCCCTGTTGGTCCCCAGGCTGGTCTCCTCATTTAGGCTACCTTCTTACCTCCAAGAGGCAACTGTGTTTGCACCCCTGTCATTTTACAAATGAATAAATAATTTTTAGAAACATAAGTATGCAAAAAGTGTGGCAGTAGAATCATTACATTATTAGTCTAATAATTCAACAAGTATTTAAGTACTCTCAATATGATTAGAGCTATGTGCAAGGCATATAGGAAGTCTGGAGAGGACCTCATGTTAAGTATCTGATCTCAGTTTATTTATAAAGTATGTTGCACTGTGTGACAGCCACATGGAGGCTGACGGGAGAAGAGATCATTGTGGACAGCTTGTTTTTAAATTAAACTCTAAGGAAGGGGTAAAACTCTAAGCAGGCCTTGTAGAGGTTTGTGGTGAGCATAGCTTAAGCCAGGCTGGGCTGGGCACATTGTAAGAAAGAGGACAGTGAAGGTGTCAGTCTATGTTAGAGGTTGTAAGTCCTCTGACTGGACCCCATGCTTAAGGGTTTGGACAACGTCCTGCAGGCAAAAAGGGGCTATGAGTATTTGCATGAGAAGTGACAGAATGAAAGGAGCATTTTAGGGGGTTTTAAGGATAATTTTCTCCCTTGAGGTGTTATGTAAACAGGTCAGAGGAAACGACTAGCCGTATTGGGAGCCTAAGGGAAATGGTCGAATTCATCCAGTTTCTAACTTTGCAAACTGACAGGTTGAAATAATTCAGGCGTACTAATGGAAAGTAAATGAACAGAGGCAAATTGAGAGACAGCAAAGAAAGCTGTTCATATTAGGTTAAATCTAGAGGATGTAGGACAATACTGAGAGAGTAGTAAAGGAAATTAGGAAATTCCAAGGTAGAGAGAACAACATGAAAGGTAGATCTACTGGATAATGAAAAGTGCCCGAGTTACATCAGGATTACCAATCTTCCTATACTTAGGGAAGGAGCAAGCGTGTTTAGAGCCTATTCAATACAACTCTATGCAGTGAGTATTTTATTGTTTTAATGGATAAACATCTTTAGGGTTAAAAAAGTAAAAGATACAATGAAACATTCTTCCTTGCTGGGGTATAATTATCATTACAGTTTCACTGGAGAGGAAACTGAGGCTCAGAATCGTTAACTTATTTGTTTAGGCGCAGTACAAAGCAGCAGACCTGAGCAAGTGTGACTCAGTTTCTGTTTTACAGAATATTGCTGTCTGATAATTAAAACTTTCTTTGAAACAAAATTGCGAGTCCTGTAAATACGCTGTCTGTTAAAGTGCCTTACAGACGAGTGGGGCTCGTCAACTACCCCTATCCTTCCCTCCTCCTATGTAAGCCTTATGTGTCTTCCTACACCGACACAATGGCAGCCGGAGCACCAGACAAGAAACCAACGGAAGACTCGAGGTCCAGGCCTAGGGCCGCGTAAGCTTGGCAGCGGGCCCGGAGCGTGCAGGCAGGGGTTACCCTGTCACCGCCGCGTCCGGCCGACACCGCCTGCCCCAGGCATACCGGCGCCGAGATTCGCGCTCCCGTACGTCCAGCCCAAGGGCGAGTGGGTGGGCCGCCCAATCCTCTCTGGGAAGAAACAGTCCAGGACCCGAGGCCACAAAACCGTGGCGCGCTCTGGAGGCCCGGCCAAGCCCCGCCTCCCCGAGCCGCCCCTTCCGCTCGCGCCGGGATCGGCTCGGACGCGGCCACGTTGCCCTGCGCGCTCCGAGCGCCTTGCCCTGGGAGTCGTGCCGGCGGCACTCGGTTCGCATAGCCGCTGGGCTCGGTGGGCCCGCAGGGCCTCACGCTCAGTCATCCCGGCGCCGCGGCGCAGGGAGTGGCAGGGCCTCTCCGTGGTTCCAGCGCGCGGGCCCGCCTGGGATTCGGGCCCGGGAGGCGCCGCCCTCCGTCAGCCTCACTCGCCTCCCAGCACCACCCGGAAGCAGCGTACCGGAGGGAGCGCTGTAGAGCTGGGCGCCGGGGCCCATGCCCGTGCTCCCCCGCGGGCCCGAGCCATGGCCTCCGGTAGCGTGGCCGAGTGCTTACAGCAGGAGACCACCTGCCCCGTGTGCCTCCAGTACTTTGCCGAGCCCATGATGCTCGACTGCGGTCACAACATCTGTTGCGCGTGCCTCGCCCGCTGCTGGGGCGCGGCGGAGACCAATGTGTCGTGTCCGCAGTGCCGAGAGACCTTCCCGCAGCGGCACATGCGGCCCAACCGGCACCTGGCCAATGTGACCCAGCTGGTGAAGCAGTTGCGCACCGAGCGGCCGTCGGGGCCCGGCGGCGAGATGGGCGTGTGCGGGAAGCACCGCGAGCCGCTGAAGCTGTACTGCGAGGAAGACCAGATGCCCATTTGCGTGGTGTGCGACCGCTCCCGCGAGCACCGGGGCCACAGCGTGCTGCCGCTCGAGGAGGCGGTGGAGGGCTTCAAGGTGAGCGCCGGACACTCGGGGTGGGCGGGGCGCGAGCGCGAGGCGGACAAAGGGAGGGGAGAGCCAGAGGGGCTTCCTTCTGCCGCCTAGAAAATGGCTGAGCCGGACGTGTGGTTCACAGCCGTCATTTCCTCTGTCCGCTCCAGAGCCTCGGCACTCAGATTTGGGAGGAAAACCTGTAGCTGGTGAGGAAGCCAGAAGTCTCCTCACCCCCACACCCCTACGGTTACCGGCTCACGGGCACATTAAACATAAGGACGGCCCACGTACTCCTGTCGGCTCCTACATGATCTCAGACAAAATACCCTCAGACGTAAACTGGCTGTGTACACATCAAGCAGATGCCGATCACTTCGTCTGTAAGCATTCCCCCAGCACTGCCCGGTGCTCTGTCCTGTTGTAGAAGCTCACAAAAAAGAACAGAGCTCTTTACTGCTTAAGTCACTTAACTACTCTGAGGCTCATAAGCGATAACAGTATGAAGATGAAGTTGATGAGCAGAGCCTTTTGCGAACTGTTGAACCAACAGGCTGGGACAGCTGAACAATAACGTGGAAACAAAGTATTAAATATAAAACAGTTGTAACATTCAAGGAGTGCATGTGCTGTGCTGTCTATGTATTTAAGGGCTGTAGGAAAGATATGCAATTATATACATGTTTAAATGTGAGTACAGCCGTGCATAATTAATCACTTAACATGTACGGTGCTTTCAAATACATTGTTTTTCTCATACTCACACTGGTGATAACCCTTGAGTAGGTTGGGAAGGTGGTGTTTGCCCATGCCACACATGAGAAAAATAAGAGAAATCATTTTCTCAGTATGCTCTATGGAAGAGTTGCAGCTTAACTTTAAGCCTCCTAGTTTAGACATCTTTTCACTAAGCTATGCAGTATCCTTCCAGGGGCAGGTAGGTGACCCAGTGTTTAACATCGATACAAATTGCCAAAGGATAGATATGGTTAGCCCCCTGTGCCCTGGTGATGGCAGTGTGGTACAAGGACAGACTAACCACTGATTTGGCATCAGGAATGTGGGCTGCATGTGTGATAAATGCTAAGGTCTACCTAATGTTAAACTGCCCAACTGTTTTTGCTTTTCTCAGGAACAAATCCAGAACCAGCTGGACCACCTAAAAAGAGTGAAAGATTTAAAGAAGAGGCGCCGGGCACAGGGGGAGCAAGCACGAGCTGAACTCCTGGTAAGGGTCTTTGAAATTCATAGATAATATCACTTCTGATGGTCACACCCTCTTTTGTAAGACTGATGTCCATTAATCTTGTCCATCCAGGTCACTGAGAACTTGTAGACACAGATGGGACAACTCTGTATGTCAGTTGGGAACTCAGCTGGAGAACAAAGGGATTCCCACATTTTTGGGGAAAGGGTGGAAGAGCTGAGGCTGAAACCCCTGGAGACCTGACCTATCAAAATCTTAACCTGTTAGCTTTGTGTAGATCAAGGTTGATCCCTTGACAAAGTTGATACAGGTGAGATTTTTGGGCACACTTAGCCTCCTGTGGTACCATTATGTAGATAGATGCAGACAATGGCTTTACATAAGTCCCACTGTTGCTGGAGTGTTGTCTTGACAACGCTTCAATCCTGAACTTTTCACTTTGCTCCCTTCCCCTCATTTCCCAAGGCCTCAGCAAGTCGACAAGTGCTAATTTGTGACAGGCGTATTTGGGAGGTTTGTTTTCAAAGCCAAAAAAAAAAATGTTTAGAGATTTTTATAATATATATTTACATATCTACCACCTAGAGGTTGAAGCTTTTTTTTTTGAACAACAAATAAAATATTACAAGTTACCATATGTTAATGGTATTTGCATCTGAAAAGCAAACTCTTAGACAAGTAGTATTTAGCAACATCATGTAAGAAATATTGTCAGTCCTGACCACTATGTAATAAATATCTTTTGGACAGGGAACTTACTTCCATGATCTCCTCAGATCCCACCACTTATGCCCATACATTCCACTGAGACCTCAGCTCCCCTTGCTTGATCACAGGTCTGGTGAATGGAGAATATAGTGAGCCTGCGTGGACCAAATTATTATGCACCAAACTGTGTCCTCTGTGGGAGTATTGTGAAAGAGGGGAACTAGCCCTTCTCTGAGAATCAAGGCACTTATATGTGCCTCTTGGTTCTGACACTAGCTAATAATAATACAACCTCTTTGGGCCTCAGTTTCCTTATCTGTGAAACGGGTAGGTGGGACTAGACTTGTGGTTCTTCAGCCAGGCTAGTACTGTCCTCTCCTCCCCCCTAGTGATGTGTGGATGTTTCTTCGGTTGTTACTTGAGGAACTGAATGATTGGGGAGGTTGGGGTGGGGATGGTGAATGTCCAACAGTATGAGAAACAATCCTATGCCAAGCAGAATGAGCTCCCCACCAGGGTGCCAATAACACCCCCTTTGAGAAACATTGGATTAGTTGACCATAAGGTCTCTTTCAGCTTTAGTTTTCCATTTCTAAGATTATGTTATATCATTTATGTCTTTGGAATACTTATGCAGCTAAAGAGAGGTATGAGCTTATGAAGAGGATTTTTAAGCAGAGGTATGTGTGTATCACTGTTGCAACACAATGAGTGCTAAGCAGGGATGGTTAGAGGGATGTTAAGGGGGAGGTTGTCAGAAGGAGTTGAGTTTAGAACAGGTGCCAAGAAGCTTTGGGTAAAGGAGCAGAAAATAAATATTTTTGGCTCTCTGGGACTTATCTCTGTCACAACTACTCAACTCATCTTTTGTAGCTTAAAAGCAGCTAAAGACAATATGTAAATGATGGGTGTGGCTGTGTCCCAGTAAGACTTTACTCCAAGGGAGTGAACAAAGGGAGTTTACTAACACTTCGTTTAAAACAACCCCTGTCAATGGGAGGTGGGGTAGAGAAGGAAGGGCAGGCAAGCTTTGGCAAACAAATCTACACCTAGAGGGAACCAAGCCCAACGTCAGTGAGATGGGACAGTTGATGAACACTCTTGAAGGCCAAATAGAGGGTATGGATTACGTGTGAAGAATCTAAGGGAACTAGTCAAGGTTATTATGTGAGAAATAAACTGTGAGTGTTCCAAACCATCTCCTACAGGGCAGATACCTGACATGTCCTTTCCTGACAGTATTTTTTCTCTTGGTTGCAGTAAAACCCTTGTCCCTTAGCCTGCCAGGTGTTAGGTCTGTGTCCTGGTCTCTTACCTTTTCTGGCCTCTTCCCTCAGCACTCATGTGCTCCAGCCAGACAGAGCCATCTGCCTTTTCTCCCCACACATTTGCAGGTGCCATTCTTCTGCCTGGAAATCGCTCCTGTACTTTGATCGCATGGTAAACTCCTGTTTATCCTACAAGACTGTATGAACATTGCTTCTAACCTCTGCCACCGCAGGCTGTCAGCCTGCCTATATTTATTCATCTGTAAATACATTTATAACGTGAACCTGACTCTTATCTTACTCAGTTCCTTGAGGGCAGGATCTGTGTCTTCACTATCACTGGGGTAATTCATTTCTCAGCTATTATATATTCAACCAGTAAAGACTAGAAAAACTGAGTGTGATAACAAGATGCTTGTTTTAGCGTATTAGAGTGGGTAGTTGGAGAAATGTGAAGGGCCGCAGGAATGAGCCTTTCTCTCCTCACTGCCCTTTCCTGTCATCTGCTCAGAGCCTAACCCAGATGGAGAGGGAGAAGATTGTTTGGGAGTTTGAGCAGCTGTATCACTCCTTGAAGGAACATGAATACCGCCTCCTGGCCCGCCTCGAGGAGCTGGACTTGGCCATCTACAATAGCATCAATGGTGCCATCACCCAGTTCTCTTGCAACATCTCCCACCTAAGCAGCCTGATCGCCCAGCTGGAAGAGAAGCAGCAGCAGCCCACGAGGGAGCTCCTGCAGGTACGGTATAGAGTGTCCTGCTAGGATGGCACCTGAAGACTTCCCTTCTCTCTACCCAGCAGTACCCAGTAAATGCTATAGGGGTAGCAAGGGCTTGTCAAGCTCTCTGTTGGGCATATTGGAGTGAAAACATGTCCAGGAGAAGCTCTGGTTGACACAACTTGCATCAGTCAGTTGCTCTCACAGGAAGGACGAAAGGAAGACCTGATGCTCAGGCCTGTCCTGCACTGACAAGTGGTCTGATCCCATACAAAGATTTCTTGTCTTCTCTGGTCTCAGTGACCCCTTCTGCTCATTATGGAATGAGGGGTTTGGCCCATATGCCATTTAAAGACCCTCTCACTTCAGTATCCTGTAATTTTAACAAATACACATGTATTACCACACCCGCAAAACAGCAAGCATGTGAGCAAGAGTGGTTAGCCCGAGGAGTGCTGTGAGTTAACCTTGCTAGCAGGTGACAGACCTGCAGTCCACCTAAGCCAGCAAGACCGCAGGAAATGTCTTTCTGTCACTTGCTCACTCAGTGCATATAATAAATTGTCTGTTCTGGATCAGACACTATTCTGGGCATTAGAATTAAGTGGTAAAAAACGCTCCTGAAATTTATGTTCTAAAGTCGAGATCAGATGATAAAGAAATGAACAAATAGGTATCATAGGTGTTGATAAATGCCATTAAAAAAGGGATGATGGGATAGAGCAAGGGTCAGCAAACCATGACCCGCCACCTGTTTTTGTGTGTCCCTACAAGCTAAGTATGATTTTTACAGTTATGAATTGGTTGGAAAAAAAAAAAATTGTTACTTCATAATATGTGAAGTTATAAAATTCAGATTTCATTGTTGATACATTTTTATTGGAATGTAGCCATGCTCATTCATTTATGTACTATCTATCTGTCCTTAATTTTCCACTGCAATAGCAGAGTTGAATAATAGCAGAGATGGTGTAGTTCACAAAACCTAAAATGCTTATTGTCTGGCCTTTTAAGAACTTTACCTCCTCCTGCTTTAGAATAATAAAATAATAAGGCCTAGCCTTCTGCCTAATGAACACCAATATTTAATTGTCAGAGAGAAAGAGAGCTTGCAAAGGAAATAATTGACCAAAGAATCAGGAAGGAGGAAGTAGATGACATATTAATGCAGTTGAGGTAAAATAATAGGAGGGCTGAAATCCATTTGGGTTAAAAACATGGCCACCATTGGTGACCTTATGCAGAACTGCCACAGTGGAACAGTTTGGGTAGGAACCACCACTAGGTAGGTGCAATGGACACTACAAGACTAGATGACTCAGGGATCCCGAAAGACCATGTAGGAGATGTAAGAAAATACTTGGAGATGAGGTAGGATTATGGGGCTTCATGGGAGGGATGCTTAAAGGAACTAGCTAAGAATATATGGGGAGGAGAGCCTGTATTCTAGGGATCTGGGTGAGGAAAATCACTGAAGCTGTAAGATTGATAAACTAATGACTAATGTGCTATCCCTAAGAAGACAGAGAGAAAGAGAAGTAAAGGAATTGGTTTTGGAAAATCCTCTGTTGTATGGGAAGAAAGGAGAAATGGGTGAGGGAGCAGGTAGGTGCAGGCAGGTTGTGAGATTTGGTAGTGAAAACCTGGAGGCTTTTATTCTGTTTTGAAGTTGGAAAGCAGGATCATCTGCTGTTATTGTGCGGGGGTTTAGGGAGATAAGAGCTTTGAAGAGTGTAGGAAAGTCCTAGAATTACTGTTTCAGAGTATGGGAAAGCCAGTTGGTTTGTGAGACATAGTAGGATTCCTTGGTCAGTGAACGACAGTTTATCAGGGACTGGTCTGCACTGTTGTATGACTTTGTCATCTGCTTTGCTTTCTCAGACAGTGACTACTCTGGTACAGGCATAGGGAAAGTAGGTAGTTGAGGACATCTAGGATTAGGGTTTTGCAAGGTGGACTTGAGGTTTGTATTTTTTTATTTTTTTTTTACTGTGATAGAATATATATAATATAAATTCACCATTTCAACCATTTCAAAATGTAAAACTCAGTAGCATTTAGTACACTCACAGTGTTGTGCAACCATCACAACTACATAGTTCCAGAACACTTCCATCACCTCAGAAGGAAACCTTGTACCCATTAAACACTCATTTCTCAGTCCTTTCTACCCATCGGTGACCACTAATCTGCTATGTGTCTCTTAAGTGTTTGCCTGTTCTAGATATTTGATATGTAAGTGGCCTTTTCTGTCTGATTTCTTTTTATTTGGAATGTTTTTTCAAGGTCATCCATGTTGTAGTATGTTCATTTCATTGCTTCATTTCTTTTTGGCTGAATAATATTCCATTGTATGGATATGTACCACATTTTATTTGTACATTCATGAGTTGATGGACATTTGCTTTGTTTCCACCATTTGGCTTTTGTGAATAGTGCTGCTATGAACATTACATACATACAAATATGAAACAATTCGTGAGTTTGTGTATTATCTGTGTGCAAGGGCCATGCTAATGCAAGGGCCATGCTAAACTTTTGTGCATGGTTCTAGTTTGAGAATATGTGCTGCCAAATCAAACACAAGGTTGCAAGACTTTTTTTTAAGATGGAAGGTATTTGTGAGAATATTTTTGAACAGATGGACCATGAAATTGAAATGATGAGGAAAATGGAAAAAGGAAAGAGTGATCATGGACTCCATGGGCGAGAGGGTTTTGGTCAGTACCAAAGAGTGATTTTGGTAGAAGTCATTAGAAAAGCAAGCTGACTCTTACTGGGGAAATATTAGAGGCCATCCCACTGAGGTCAGAAACAGGGTGAGATCTTACTATTGTCTACCTCTATTTACAATTGTACCTAAGTTTTAACCAGTTTAGTTAGATAAACAATTATAAGCATAAGAATTGGAAGAGAAATTAAACTCTTACGTGGAAAAGATATATAACTATAAAGTAAGGAAACAATGTTAAACTAATACAAGAATTCAGCAAGGCAGCAGGATATAAGATTAACATACAGAAATCAGCAGCCATCATTTGCACAGATGACAGCCACTAGAAGACATTAGAAGAGAATATCCCATTTCCAATGTGAAAAAAACAAAACACCTGGGAGTAGACTTAAGTAAATGTCAGAAAAGTACAAGAACCTGTGTAGAGAAAACTATAAAACAGTCCTGAAAGATAAAATAGATTTGAGCTAATCAGAAATCATCCCTTGTTCTTGGATAAAACATCTCAACATCATCGTGTTGTTCCTCATAAGATAATTTATAAATTTAATTCAATCTCAGTAAAAATGCAACCTTTTTTCCTGGAATTACACAAATTGATAGTGAAGTTCAGATAGAAAAATAAGCATGTAAAAATAGTTAGGAAACAGATGTAACTATGAGGTGGGAACTTACCTTGTTAGATATTAAAACATATTACCACGTCTGTGTAATTAAAGCAGTTGGTAATAGTACAAGGAAAACACACATACATTGTAGCAGGTCAAAAGACCAGCATCAAATTGAAAGAAAATATTTGCAATGATTATCACATATAGAAATAATATGTAACTTTCAAAAATTAAGAGAGGTAAGACAAATTGTATAAAAATGAGCAAAAGACATGAAGGGGCAAATTCAAAAGAAATACAAATTGGACCGTGAACTTTTTAAAAAAATTCTTTATTATACTTCTTTTAATAATAGATGCAAATTAAAACACTGAAATACCCTTTCTTACCCATTAGAATAGCAACATTTTCTTAATTCAGCACACTGTTAGCAAAGATGTGAAGGGACAATCTCATATGCTGGTGGGAAAGCAAATTATTTTTGTAGTCTTTAACAAAACTATATATACAGTTAGACTTTGAACATGAATCCTTCTAGGAATTTACCTTGAAGATATATCTAAGTATGAAAATATATACAAAAGTACATATGCATGAGGTTAATTGATGTAATATTCTTTGTTATTGCAAAATACTGGAAACAACAAACTTCCAAACTTAGAAAACGTGTGTACACCATGCAATGGAATACCATGCAACTGTGAAAAGATAAAGGAAGAAATCTGTGAATCTACATATACCTACATACGGTAATTCCCAGGATATGTGTTAAGTGAAAAAAAATCAAAGTGCAAAATGACTATGCTACTTTTTGTGTAAGAAAGAAGAGATAATTGTAAAATACATGTATCTGCTGCTTTTTTGCAAAGGAAATATTGGAAGGATAAACCAGAAAATAGGGATGAGAAGAATGGGAGGGGAAGGGAAAGGAAAAAGAGTGACAGAGATTCTCTCTGGCCAAGTCTCAGGCTTTTGAGCACCAGAGTAAGTTAAGAAGAGTGATGATCATGCATCTTTTTTCATACTGGTCATAGTTATGACCATGTTTCATTGGGTAACATATTCTTTTGATGCAGAAACACAACAACCTTCTCAGGGTACCTTTCATTTCAGAAGCGTAGCAAATGGGAATTCAGAAAAACAAACAAAGAAGAGTGATGGATTATAACCTATTAAATAAAGTAAGAATCTATGGACCCATAAAAATAAGGTTGACTAAGTAATATAGAAGGAATTTTGAAGTTAGGAAATGGCCATTTGGCAACCATAATAGTAAAAGTTAATCTGGTTAATAATTATTGAGGAATGCTAAATCTAAAGGGGGAATGTTTGATAAGGATTGCAATAGTAACATAATTTTAAACCATCACTTTTTAGATGACTAACTAGTTACAAAAGGAAAAACAGCTATACAGTAATCAAAATATTTCCAGTAAGGGACAAGTGAATATCATACACATTGAAAAGGACATAATATACTCTAATCAAAGATTGTACAGCTTGAATTTAATCATAAGGGAAGTATCTGACAAGCCCAAATGGAGGAACATTCTGTAAAACAACTAGCATGTATTACACCAATGTCAATGTCATAAAAGACAAATCAGTGCAAAAGAACTGTTCAGATTAACGACACATGTCATGGTATCTAAATGCAGTGACTGATCCAATGGATTACCTAAGGTGGGGAAGTAGTTGCTGTAAAGAACATTATTAAAGTGGTTAAATTAGAGAATATGGACTGTAGATAGGATAAACATATCAGTGTTCAGTTTCCTGAGTTTGATAACTATACTGTAGTTATGTAAGAAAATGTACTTGTTCTTAGAGCACACTGTTAGCAAAGATGTGAAGGGACAATCTCATATGCTGGTGGGAAAGCAAATTATTTTTGTAGTCTTTAACAAAACTATATATACAGTTAGACTTTGAACATGAATCCTTCTAGGAATTTACCTTGAAGATATATCTAAGTATGAAAATATATACACAAGTACATATGCATGAGGTTAATTGATGTAATATTCTTTGTTATTGCAAAATACTGGAAACAACAAACTTCCAAACTTAGAAAACGTGTGTACACCATGCAATGGAATACCATGCAACTGTGAAAAGATAAAGGAAGAAATCTGTGAATCTACATATACCTACATACGGTAATTCCCAGGATATGTGTTAAGTGAAAAAAAATCAAAGTGCAAAATGACTATGCTACTTTTTGTGTAAGAAAGAAGAGATAATTGTAAAATACATGTATCTGCTGCTTTTTTGCAAAGGAAATATTGGAAGGATAAACCAGAAAATAGGGATGAGAAGAATGGGAGGGGAAGGGAAAGGAAAAAGAGTGACAGAGATTCTCTCTGGCCAAGTCTCAGGCTTTTGAGCACCAGAGTAAGTTAAGAAGAGTGATGATCATGCATCTTTTTTCATACTGGTCATAGTTATGACCATGTTTCATTGGGTAACATATTCTTTTGATGCAGAAACACAACAACCTTCTCAGGGTACCTTTCATTTCAGAAGCGTAGCAAATGGGAATTCAGAAAAACAAACAAAGAAGAGTGATGGATTATAACCTATTAAATAAAGTAAGAATCTATGGACCCATAAAAATAAGGTTGACTAAGTAATATAGAAGGAATTTTGAAGTTAGGAAATGGCCATTTGGCAACCATAATAGTAAAAGTTAATCTGGTTAATAATTATTGAGGAATGCTAAATCTAAAGGGGGAATGTTTGATAAGGATTGCAATAGTAACATAATTTTAAACCATCACTTTTTAGATGACTAACTAGTTACAAAAGGAAAAACAGCTATACAGTAATCAAAATATTTCCAGTAAGGGACAAGTGAATATCATACACATTGAAAAGGACATAATATACTCTAATCAAAGATTGTACAGCTTGAATTTAATCATAAGGGAAGTATCTGACAAGCCCAAATGGAGGAACATTCTGTAAAACAACTAGCCTGTATTACACCAATGTCAATGTCATAAAAGACAAATCAGTGCAAAAGAACTGTTCAGATTAAAGACACATGTCATGGTATCTAAATGCAGTGACTGATCCAATGGATTACCTAAGGTGGGGAAGTAGTTGCTGTAAAGAACATTATTAAAGTGGTTAAATTAGAGAATATGGACTGTAGATAGGATAAACATATCAGTGTTCAGTTTCCTGAGTTTGATAACTATACTGTAGTTATGTAAGAAAATGTACTTGTTCTTAGGAAATACAGAAGTATAAAGTGGTAAAGGAATGTAATCTCAACAATGATCTCAGATGGTTCTGAATATAATATGTTTGTAATAATCTGGTAAGTCTGGGAAAAGAGTATACAGGAGTTCTTTGTACTAGCAGCCTTTCTGTGTATTTGAAATTACTTCACAATAAAAAGCCAAAGAAAGTAAGCTGGAAGGTAGGCAGGTGTGGTCTATGGGTAGGATGCTTGAGTTAGTAAATCTGAAATCATGAGATCCTTGACCAGTGGTGTAGGAGGAGGACATAGGAAATGCTGGTATAGCAAACAGTGTGCATCCCAGTTTCCTCTGCTTGATTTTTAGCTTCTACACTGTGAGTTGTGTTCCTTGCCTCCCTGATTTTTCCCAGGAGGGCCAGCCCATAGTTGGGTTTTCCAAAAACCTCTGTGAAAGAAAACCGAAGTTATGAATGACTTCTCATGGTTATCCTTTTCCTTTCTCTTGTAGGACATCGGGGACACGTTGAGCAGGTACAGTTTTCTCTCTTCCCAGTTAAATCAAGCATGGGAAGACTGTTTCCCTCATATTTACAAATCCTGAAAGGAGCCTAGAGTGAGATGAACTTCTTTCTTTCTGTCCCTGAACTGAGTCATCAGTATGCAGAGAACTAGATGAACCACAGCTCTTTTCAGTCAAACTCAGAAATTATTGACAAATTGTGAAGGTAAGGGGTGGTAGAGGGCTTATTGGGAGGGTGCTGGTTGTTTTTGAGGACACTTGGAGAAGGGGGAAACTTACAGGGACTTGGGTAAAGTGCAAGGGTCTCTTACCGTTGTTGTTTCCTAAGCATTTCAGAATCCTTTCTCTTTCATATTCACTCTTTTGCTCTCTTTCCTGTAATAGCACAAGTAAGGCCTAAGAAAAGTGTCCAGCTCAGAGTTATAAAATTAGTGATGAGTTACCTGCATTCTGGCTCTTGTTCTCTTTATTTCTCTACTGTATCATCAGATGGAAAGTGAGGAAGAGCTCCGTGGGAGTTGGGATGTGACCAAGCAGGGAGAGCTCAGGGTGGGCAAGAAGCCAAGGCTAATTTGTGTTTGCAGGGCAGTTGGCAAAGGCAAGCAGGATAGGCCTTGAGAACATAATATTTGGTGCAGGAGTGCCTCCAGGGATTGAGTCTGTCTCTGAGGGAGTGAACTTTGATGATTAAAATCCTGAATGATTAAACCCTTCCAGAGAAAATATATTTTGATTGTGTGGGAGCATTTGAGGAGATGGAGGAGGGCCTCATAGATGGGGTGGGTTGGCTGGGAAAGTTATGTGGATAAAGTTGCATTGATAAAACAGGTTTTTGAGGGCCCCTGGGATGGAGGTGAGCTGGAGCTTGTACTAGGCCAGCTAGACAGCCACAGCAAATACTGCCTCTACTTGTTACTTTTACTTTTTGATGCCAGTCTAGTTCTGACCTAACTTAGGGAGATAGATCCTTCAGATCTTAGCATTTTGTGACTTTAAGGTCTGGATTTGGCTATATGAGATAGGAAACTCAAAATTCCATTGACTTAAGGCTTAAACATAATAAGAAAAGTTTGTCACCATATAAGAAATGTGCAAGTAGGTAGCCCAGAGCTGGTATGGTGGCCCCAGTGATCATCAGACTCTCAGGTTTCTTTCTGTTCCACTCTGCCATGCCTAAGGTGCAGTCCTCCTCACAATCCAAGATAGTTATAAGCCAACAAGTAGGAAGGAGATAAGTTACATCATGTGTTCATTTTTAAGCAGACTTCTCAAATCACAAGATACTCTCATTAGCCACCACTCAGTCACAAGGTCACATCTAGACAGGGCAGCCATGAGCCCAGTAAAATTTGGAAGATGGGAAAAGGGATAAATAACCTTTTCCTAACCAGCAGCCAATAGGCAACAAGCACTTAGCCTTTGCTGTAGCCCCTTGAGGTGGGTGGGTGGGCAGGTATTGTACAGAGCACCTTTCTGTCTGAAGATGCCATTCTCAGTGTAGTCGAGAACCAGAAGATTCTAAGTTGTTGCCCACCATGAACATCAGGACTTTGTCATGGAATCTAGTGCTTCTATATTCAATCTAATTCAGTAAAAATTTTTTTGAGAACATGGTATCTGAAAAGCCATGAGCTGGGTGCTGTGGAGGATATGAAAATAAGAATATGCTGTCTCCTATTCTGGTCTGGAGGATCATAGCCCATCTAAGCAGAAAATAGGGGTAAGAGTGTAGCGGTTGCTTTTTAAGACTGTCCACATGCTGGCCAGTTTAGCCCAGACATTGTCCTAGCCTCTGGAAACCTGTGGATGTTGGGGAGGGGTTCATTCATGTTTTTGTTTTAAACTTAGGGCTGAAAGAATCAGGATCCCTGAACCCTGGATTACACCTCCAGATCTGCAGGAGAAAATCCACATTTTTGCCCAGAAATGTCTCTTCTTGACCGAGAGTCTGAAGCAATTCACAGGTAATGTGAGAAGAGGGATCTGTGAGGGAAATGGATTCATGCTCTGAGTATCTGTGTATTGCCTGAGAGGATATATTTTCCAGCCAGACAGTGGGATGCAAACTAAACATCTTCTTTTTTCCCCTTAGAAAAAATGCAATCAGATATGGAGAAAATCCAAGGTAAATTTATCTACTTAATGGGCTTTGGATGTTGAAATTCCCTGGGAAGATGAACGTATGCATTAAAAGTGTGGAAAAATGGGAAAGGAATGATATCCACTGGCCATCCTTCCCTGATATTTTATATCTTCCTTTTTTCAACCAATATCCCCTTGTTTCAATGTGAAGTCTTTTAACTGTGTGCACTCAGTTCTCAGTCTACACTGAGGGAGGAGAATAATAGATAATTTAAAAGTTAAGTAGTCCATAATTACTCTGATTTTCTTTAATTTTTTCTAATTGGGAAAGAATAAACAAAAACTATCCTAGTTCCATTTGTTTGAGCCATTATTTATAGTTAAAATTTACAGAGTTCCCACTGCTTGTGGGCATTGGTGACAACTGGACCCAGAGGAATCAAGCAACACTGACTGAAGCCATAGCTCAAGGGAAATACTTAGGCACAGGATTCAGGAGCCCTGGGTCCAGCTCTGCCACTTAATACACTATCATTTCCTCATCTTACCTCACAAGGTTATAAGGACATAAGCTAAAGCTGTTCCCATTTCTAAAACCTTTAGAATGGAGCCTGTTACATAATAAACCTATATTTGTATCTGTCAAAGTGTTGTAGGTATTTAAAGGAAGCTCTTCCAAATATAAAATTTTCTGTTCATGAACCACATTCAGTTAAGAGTTGGCTATTACTAATGCTAAAATTCCTAGGCAGTCTGGTGGAGTTTGAAACCCTTATATGTAGGTAAACCATTGTCTTATTTGTTACAAATTACCGATCCTTACAATTTCTGATACTATGTTTGCTAAAACTTTATTTGCATTGTATCTTTTCAGATACATACTTTTTTTGGCATCTAGCTACACATATTTAGGGGACATTCACAAGCAAAACAAATAGAAACTCCACTTAATAGTGTGCATAAAACCAGAAGTGGTTAGTTCAGACATGATTTTCCTTAATCTGGCTCTCATTTATTTACCCTGCTCTTCTCTCAACACTTAAAAGTCTCCCTGAGGACCTGTCTGAAAATGCCTTGTTAACTGTAAAGTGCCTTTTAAGTGAATGTTTTGTTTGCTCCAACATGGTAGTGGGTATTACTTGAAACACCCAGCCCCTAGAAAGAAGTGGTTTATGAAAACCAAGAATTGTGTATGATGTGGACTTGGAACTATGTTTTCCCCTGCAGAAACAGCTGGCCCCCTGGAGGGTAGAATCCTTGATCTTGGCTTGGTTCAACCCGATGTGCTGGCTTGGTTTGACCCAACGTGCTACCAGTCTCAGGCTTTTGGTTATCCTTCTACCCAGTTTCCAATCCCTCTTCCTTTAAAGCTCTTGGCTGGATGATGGAGTCATACAGTCCATGAAGAAATCAGTGTATGACAGCAGGGGTTCTGGGATATCTAATGGAGACCATTGCTTTATGATGACTCTAACCAAAGCTCCCTCAGATAGGTATTTACTGGAAATACTCGTATGATTTCCATAACTTCTTTTCTCTTTTGGTCTTTCAGAATTGAGAGAGGCTCAATTATACTCAGGTAGGTTTTAGGAGACAAAGCCATACGGGGAACAGAGTAAAAATCCTTATGAACCTAACTGCTATTGTGAATGATTTTAGAAATTGCTTAAATTTGGGTCCTTTAAATTACATATGTAAAAATTACAAACAGCAACCACAGAAAAACACTGGTTATTTCTATGTGTTTAAAAAACTTTGCCTTCTAAAATGCCTCCAAGCTGAAGCCATGGACCTCTGAAATAGGAGGAACTCGAGCTCAGGTGCCATGAAGGATTATAGATTAGAAAGTACAGTTGAAAAAGTGAACACTGCTAGCGCACGGGCACACTGCTCTGCCTACGCAGCCTCAAGGGCAGTGTGGTTGCAAAAAGCAGTTCTCCTTCCAGAAAGAATGATTGAGCTAAACTCTTATTCAGAATGTTAGGGCAAGTCTAGAAATCTTATGTCATCCTGTCTCTGTGCCTTAAGGTTAGAGATCGAACTCCCCCTCCCCTTGACCACCACCTTTATCTAATGTACAGAGAGATGGTAAATCTGCGGTCCCAGAGGTACTCAGATCTGAGGTATGTATTTTCAGTAGTCACCCGGGCACCTTCTGTTGCATGGAATCCTCCTCTTCACAAAGAGAGGGACTCTACATACAATGGGTCTTTCATTAGTGTCCACTGGCAGTGATCCATATTCAATTCTTTCAACCTATATTAATTGAATACCTTGCTTATATTCTACAGAGTCTAACATTGTGTAGGGTACTATGGAGGGAACAAAGGATCATAAGACTCTGTCCTATCCTTGGAGTGCAGTGTCTGGCTGGAAGTACAGAGAGTATACCCATGCCATGAGAAAAAGATGGGTAACTGATTTGGACAGATCATTGAACCAAGATCAGGGTTCTTTGTCTCCTCCCCTGGTTTCCTGTGTGGGAGGCATTTAGCCTGCCTGAGCTCCGGGGGGTTGATGTTTGTGACTCCTCCCCTGCACAAGATGTGAGAGCAAATAAGAGAATATATATCAGTGCTTTTAAAACAGAAAAGCACTGCATGATTGCAAGACAGTGTAATGCTAAATAGTAGAGCAGGAGACATGGTGATACATAGTTTTAGATTTCAGAGAGGGTGAGTATTGGCTTGGGCTGGTTAATACTTTTGAGGAAGGTGTAGGTCTTGTGTTAGTCATGAGAAGAAGATGAATAGGGTTTGGCTGTGCTGGTAAAGAGCCCATGAAGTGGATGACATAAGAGTGATTTTAAAGGTGAGCAAATTGGTACAGGCTCTCAATCCCTCACCCATAATACCCAAATCCCCAAATTCGGAATTTATGTGGGAAATTCAGTTTATAGAGGAAATTGTGGCTTAAGATGTGAAAGAAAGTGAATGGAGGGAAAATCTCAGTACTTTTGATATATCCTGGCTGACGAAAGTAACCAGCTAATCCAAACAGTAATTTTTGGAATGTTAACTTCAGGATGTTTTCATCATAAGATGAGTGCAACCAATAGTGGGGAAACTTGTACTGTCTTTCCAGGAAGGCGAGAGAAAAGCTGGGTGTTGCAGGGTGAGCACTCCTGGCCTGCAACTGACCATGCCTTTCCCCTCTGTTTCTGCAGTGGATGTGACTCTGGATCCAGACACAGCCTACCCCAGCCTGATCCTCTCTGACAATCTGCGGCAAGTGCGGTACAGTTACCTACAGCAGGACCTGCCTGACAACCCTGAGCGGTTCAATCTGTTTCCCTGTGTGTTGGGCTCTCCATGCTTCATCGCTGGGAGACATTACTGGGAGGTAGAGGTGGGAGATAAAGCCAAGTGGACCATAGGTGTCTGTGAAGACTCAGTGTGCAGAAAAGGTGGAGTAACCTCGGCCCCCCAGAATGGATTCTGGGCAGTGTCCTTGTGGTATGGGAAAGAGTACTGGGCTCTTACCTCCCCAATGACCGCCCTCCCCCTGCGGACCCCTCTCCAGCGGGTAGGGATTTTCTTGGACTATGATGCTGGTGAGGTCTCCTTCTACAACGTGACAGAGAGGTGTCACACCTTTACTTTCTCTCATGCTACCTTCTGTGGGCCTGTCCGGCCCTACTTTAGTCTGAGTTACTCGGGAGGGAAGAGTGCAGCTCCTCTGATCATCTGCCCCATGAGTGGGATCGATGGGTTTTCTGGCCATGTTGGGAATCATGGTCATTCCATGGAGACCTCCCCTTGAGGAGGTGAACTCAGGCCAAAAGGGCTGTTGGCTTTAATCCTACCCTAGGCATGAGGCGTTTTGTTGCCTTGCCACTTCCTGTTTGTCACACCTGGATATCCTTACTGCTTTCCATGCCTCTGCGATGGGAGACAGGATGTCCATGTTCTCTGCCATCCTTCCCTTCCCCATGCCAATTGTGAGATGTAATGACAAGTATCAGGACTGCCTGGAAATAAGAAGCAAATGTCCAGCTCCAGTATTTCACACGTTTTAGTTTTGCACATTACTTGAGGGAATAAGGAACATGGATAATCTTTGGATTTGGAGAGCCGTTAGTATACTTACACCTTGGCTCAGCCTGGTTTCTCTGGTTGACCCTCACTGAGTGATCATGGGTATTTGCTGTTATTTCTGGACTTGAGCTCCTTTCTAAGAATCAAGAGTGGAACTACAAGGCCCTGTCAGCATGGCTCCCCTTATCCTGGTTTTTCCTTTTGGGAATAGTACCTCTACCCTTGATTCCCATTCTGCTGTAGTTTTATTAACAACATTAAAGAGGCCTACATGTGTTTTGATTAGTTACAGATATTTTACAATTATGGTGGGATGGCTCCCTCTGTCACGAGATAATGTTCTAATCAGTGTGCTCTTTGCCTCTCTGTCTTTTCTGAGGGCTTTGTCTGCTCCCTTCATTCTAATGAAAGGTACATCCTGGTGTTGGTTGCACATCATCCAGGATAATTTTCTGCCCAGCACCATCCGTTGTTCCTAAATCCCCTCCCACTCACAGTTGTGGACTGATGGGCAGTAATATGCCATCCCTGGAAGGATTTGGGGGCAGTATTCCAAGGACTCCTGGACCTTTGCCTCCTTTTCTCAATCTCCTCTGGAGAGTAGGGAAATGGACCTTTCTAATATGTGTACCGTCAAGGGGCAGCGGTTAGATCCCCATGGCTGTTGGATCATGAGGCATTCTGGGGTTGAGGGCTAAGGCAGATCACTGAGCAAGCCCTCATGATGGTTCTTAGTCCTACTTCTCTTTGGGCACATGTCCCTCTGTTTGAAAATAAAGTGAATATGGAAGTTGTTTACATTGTTGTTGTTTTCGGGGTTGTGGTAGGATTGGGTTCATAGATGTTGGGGGTTGGGAGTGGTTAATGGTATCAATTTCCCTTATGAGTCCAGAATCCTATTCTAGCCAGTATTTTACTTTGAACTGGAAATCAAACTACTTTCTCAGTACCATGTCACTACTTTCTAATGCTGAAAAAGTAGTGTTGGGACATCCACAGCCTGCAGCTCTATATTGGCTAAAACGGTAAGGTGGATAGGAAAGTGTCCTCTCAAGTCCGTTTTTATAACTGTCAGTACTTATATATCAGAGCGCCCAGAACATGCTTCCCAACCTAGAACACCAGACTAAGATGGGTGGAGGTTGCCACATGCTGAGGAGGTAGATGAGGCTGAGAGAACAGTTCTGCCCCAGATATTTTCTGCTTCTGGACATGGCCTCCAAAGACAAGATTTTATGGTCTGTACTTAGTCCTGAACCTAGCAACAAGGTTCCATGGCTGAAGACCATAATTGATGATTCATAATTTGTTTATTCATTTATTCATCCATCAGGTTTTAAGGGAAATAATATAACTAGGGGCTCCCGTGATGCTAGGTTAACTTTTGCTAAATACTCTTGGATGTAAATACATAGGATTTTATATATATATATATATACATATATGTGTGTGTGTATATATGATATGTGTAAAATGCTGTTAACAGACATGAAGCAGTGCTTTCATACATAGTATGAAGTACTTCATGCACAAGAATTTATTTTAAGGCTCATAACAATCCTACAAAGTAGATACTATTACCCTTATTTTACAGATGAGGAAACAAGCACAGAGAAGATAAATGACTTATCTAAGGTGCACAGCTAGGAAGCAGCAGAGCCAGGATTCAAACTGAGATGGAACACATGACCACATATGTCATATCCTGCTCCACAATATATATGGATTATTCTTTTTCATATGGGAAGGCTGAGCAGAGAGTAGAAGCCTTGGAGTGCCAGTCCCTTGGCCTGGGATACTTGCCTTTAACATCTGCAACTGGAAAGTTGGGTGAAAAGACCCAATCAAAATTGCTTTCCAGTTTCACTTATTCCACTGAGGCAGGGAGGAAGAATAAGAATCCACAAAGAGAGCACTTTGCTTGTCCCAGTCCAAGAAAATGTGTCCTGGAATGGACTTCTGGTCCTTGCTGTTGGAGTGATGGAGCAGTGTCTGGGTCAACTTAGAGGGTTTCACACTGGGTCTGCTTTAGTCCCCAGCAGACCCAATGCTTTAACAGACATCTTGATGCATTTGTATTAACAGCAGCAGCAGCAGCAGGAGCAGTGATAAATGCAACTTTGTTGGATTCAATAAAATTTCCAATTTGAATGGGGATGTACTACAAGAGTGAATGTTACTAACAATGCTGAGTGAAAAAAGTCTCAGAAGACTATATACCTTACAATGCCCTCTTAATATGAACAAAAGGACTGTGGTTACCAATGGAGTATGTGGAAAAGTAGGATAGAGGAGGAGGGCATATGTTGATGTGTGTTACTGGGTATCTTCTGGTTCTTGTGAGTGGGGAAGTTTATAGGTATTTACGTAAATTTTTAATTTTTTAAAAAACTGGCATTTTGGATGAGGTTAACTTGTAAACAATTCTAAATTTACTCATCTGCAGAAAGATAAGCAACATTTGAATTTACTGAATCAGTATTTGGGCCCCTTAAGCAATTGGGTCCAAGTAGCATTCTTCTGGCATCTCTGGTTCTTTCCTTAGAATATCTGAAGTTACTGATACACATCAGGCTTCAACAAATACTCATTCTTTAGTTCTCTTGTTAGCCCAGGAAAAATGTGTGTGTGTGTGTATCTTCAGCTGTTTTTGTTTTTTCTGGTATTGGCCTGGTAGGCCGAAAAGAGCATCTACACCAAGAGCAGACAAGGCCTGGAAGAGATAGCTTCAAAGAATAGAAGGAAACTGAACATGGTCTCTGCTCTCCAGAATGTACAATGGAGAAGATGAGAGAGTACATGTGATAGCTGCCTAACACTCAACAGGTGCTATGCATTTAAGAGGAAATGGTTGTGAAACAAAGGCTCACATGGTAATGAGCCATTATGAATGTCTTCAATTACCTGCAATTCCAACCAAAAGTGTAGATGGAAATCACACATCTCTCAGCATAATAAAAAATAACTTGGGTTTTTTGTTTACTAATCGTGGATGGGTTGCCTCTTAATAAATGAAAGACAATGATTCATTGATTGAATACACGATTAACCAGTGTTGGGTGCCCTAGCTGAACTTGACTTTTGAAGAGATATGAAAAAGCATGGCTTCTGTAGTTAGAAAAGTTAATAAAGTCAATTAGGAGAAAAATAACATGAAAAAGAAGCAGAGCATAACAAAAAGAAAATGTGTGGATAAGTGGGGCATTGCGTGCTGTAGGAGACCTCAGTGTGGACCCTAATGGTCTAAGAGGAAGCTGAAATCCTAGGTCTTCATTTCTTCCTTAGTGCCCTTGATGCTGAGGCTGAAAGGTTGGTACCCACTAACTTGGAACTGCAATAAATGTTTACTTGATTATGTAATTAAGTCACTAAAGCCCACACCTTTAACCCAGTAATTCTGTGTGAGGTCTTTACAAAGAATAAGAAAACCCTACCAACCCATATAGATTATTGTAGAACTGGCTTCTCTATGATGTTAATGAAGGAGTTTAGATTTCGTACTGTGCAAACAATACTTGAATATGACAGCATTGGCATAAGTTTAACATACTTTTTCCCTATTGGAGAGAAAGTATAACTTTCTCAGATCTGGCTTATTTGTTGTCTTCATTTTGCGTTTGAAGTTTGAAATGTAACCAGGGCATTTTGTAGGTCAACTTCTTGAAGTACATCATATCTTTCCTAGATTTCTCTTTCAGTATTTGCTTGGATAATAGGAATGGACATAATTACCAAATGACATTTGGAATTTGTGATACGTAAGAAAAATGTACAGAAGAAGAAAATTTTTTTCAGTGTAGCAAAGTAAACGTTTTTCAACCTACACATTTTTTTTTAAAACTGGGAAGAAATATACCAAAATACCAATAGATGCTTCTGACAAGATTATGGGTGATCTGGCCATTCTCCCTTATTGAACTTCACTATGGAAACCTCTAAGCACACACACAAATGAAGAAAATAAAATAGACAGTAAACCCTTACCTTCCCATCATGTCATCTCCCAACTTTGAATATCAATTTATGGTCAATCGTATTTCAAATACATTCTCATCTCAATTTCCATCCCATCCCCGTTGTTCTAAAGTAAATGTTGGACATATCAGTCAGTAGGATCAGATGTTTCTTATGAATCACATAAAATAGTGAAGAGATGCATTTCAAGGTTGGGAATTACGCCCTGATTTTTAAATTGGTGTAGACTACCACTGTCAGCTTTTCTTTTTTGTCCCATCTACCCTTTAAAATTTAGCCTTTCAGAGTCCTTGTAGGTGTTTTCATGAAAATATACTGTGGCCTCTGGGGACTTCTGTTGCACAGTAGATATTGTTAGTAAATAGTAAGAAATATTTATGTATTTAATTATACCTCACTTTATGCCGGAAAGGACTTAAAGACATTTAAAACAAAATGAAATCAAGGTAACAGGAATTTAACATGCCTTAAGGAAGAAAAATAAGGATAGGCCAAAAATTGACCAGGAATCAAAGTAAATATATAGCATAACATTACAAAGACACTAAATGTGGGCCTTGTTTGACAGCTCATAGTTTCTATGAGATTAAAATTGATTTAATGTGTAAGGGACTTAATGAGATTCTTGTTAGTAAAAGGAAATTCTGCGTGGATGTTTGGTAAGTAGAAATTATCATAAGGGTTTACCTTTCACATAATGAGCTTGGAAATCAACAGGGAAGAAAACACCTCAATAAAAATTTGGTAAGCAACTTACTGAGGAAGAAATACAAAAATCATTTAAACATTAATGTTGAATCTCACTAATCTGTATAACATGCGTTGCCATTTTTCACCCATTAAAATGTTTTCTTGTATTTCATGTGGTCATTTTTGGGTTATTTTAATTGCTTCAGGTATTTTGGCAGGCATATGGACAGTATGTATCAAAAGCTTTTAAACCTGGGTAAACTTTGAGCTAGTGATTCCACTTCTAGAAACTTAAGGAAATAGTGAATGGATATTTCAAAGTATTTACACAAGGATATTCTTCAGAGCATTGCTCATGAAAATGAAAAAGAAGTAATCCAGTGTTTAACAATACTGCTTTGATAGTATCTGCAATACATTGCCATTAGTGAAAAAAAACAGTGATAGTAATTATAAATTTGAAAAAGGTTACAATTGCCATGTCAGGAATCACATCAGAGACAATTTCCCTTCCAATAGAACAATCTTTTACGAAAGAAAATAGAGCAAATCTCTGTCTTGGAGAGAGAGATATTAGGAACCTATTGTTCCCCATACTTTTCACTCCCGATTTCTCTCCTTACCAAAAATTGGATATTAAACCAAGGGAGTCTGGAAATGTAAGGGCCTACCAAAATACAAGTTATTTCTCTTCATGCAGAAGAGACTTAACCTTTGCCTTACAGAAAGAAAAAGGAAAACGTGTGTGTTAATAAATACAGAAAATAACCTGTTGGGACAAAACCTACTTAAAAATCCCCAAATATATGTCTCTACTCTCTGAATTTAACAGCCTAAAAAGTACAGCAGTTGAAACAAATGAGTCAACTACATTTATTGAGCTCCTACCATGTATGCTAGGCATCCCACTAGGAAGGCATTAGGCCAGCTAGTTATTTTCGCACAGCTGACCTGACCCCTTAAGGGCTCTCGGTCTAGTTGGAGGAATAATTTCTTATTGTTTAGTCTCAAGGCTTCGTTAAAACATGTGACCTCCGGTACTCCAGACTCAGAGCTCATTCTTTTGCGCAAAACTGAAAAACAGCTGGAAAAGTCCGAGTCAGGAAATGTGGCATCCTTCTTATTCTCACT